ACGGCACACTCGTGTTGAAGAGGTGCCATGCTGGCTATTTACCCCCCCCCCCCCCCCGGAAGCAGCGCGCAGCAGCCAGCAAGGCAGCAACGGGAGAGGCTGCTATTTAAACCCCCCCACGTGGCCACCTGCAGTGCCACGTGGCACTTTGCTATGGACTTGAAGACCCCCTGTGTTTCAGGGGCTGCTCCACATCGGTGAGGGTATGCTTACACAGCATACCCTAGATCTACAGATTTGCAGTAGGGGCTGATCAAGATCTCAGCCCCCTCCCTCCTCCAGGTGGCTGCTGCAGCGAAGGCCAAGACCCTCCTGGTCTTGGTGTACCTTGTGCCCTTGGAGACACCAAGGGCCAGGTATCACTCCCTTCTGCCCCCTTCCTCTACTAACCCATCTCCCTACCTCTCCTCTCTCCTCTTACTCACCCCTTTTCTTTCCCCCACCTTCTACTGCATCTTTTCTCTCCTCCTTTTATCTTCCCCACCCCACCTTTCTCCCAACACCCATTCTTTTACTCCCCTTTCTTTATTTGTTTTTCTTTTCTTCCTCCTTCTTTTCTCTTTGCTTCTTGATCCCTGTCCACCTTTCCCCTCCCTCCTCTCCCCCAACTACCACCACACCATCCCCCTACCTCCCACTTCATCTTTTTCTCTCCCCCCACCTATTTCTTTCTTTTCTCCTTCACTTTTTTTTTTTTCATTCCCCTTCCCCCCTACTTCGAATTTTTTCTGTTTTTCTTCTTTCTATCTCTCCCTTGATTTATCTTTTCTCTTTTTCCAAAAAAATCGAAATATCTTCTTTCCCACCTTTTTTTCTCACTTTTTGATTTATTTTATTTATTTTTCTATTTATTATGAAAATTCGATTTTCTTTACGGCAACCCTAAATCTGATTAGGTGTTAGTCTTTACTACTTTCGGCACACGTTTTGACCCCGTGGGGGTAACGAAAAGTTACCGAAATTTTCTGTTTTTTTCTTCCACTTAGTCTTCTCGGCACACTTCGACCCCATGGGGGTAACGAAATGCTGCCAAAAATTTTGACAAATTAGATACTTCATTCCTCCCCACCTCCTCCTCCAATTTTTACTTCTTTATTTATTTATTTATCTATTATTTCTTTATTTATTCTCTGAAATTTCCTTTATTTTATTTGTGGCATCTTAACACCTTGTGTGCTCACCTTGGTCTCTCCTTTCCCCTCGGCACATTCTTGACCCCGTGGGGGGTAGGAAAATGCTACCGAAAATTTCAAAAAAATAAATATTGTTTTCCTTCACATCTTTTTACTTATTTTTTAATTATTTTTATTATTTATTTATTTTCTTATTTATTTTTATTTTCTCTCGAAATCTCGCTGTTTATTTATTTTTTCTCCCACCTTCCCCCCCCTATGCTTGGCATTTTACTTTCTTGATTAGGTCACCGGTACCCTACCCTAACCACTTAAACTTCGGTTAGGGTTTTCTTAGGGTTTTTGTAGGGTTTAGGATTCTTCAAACCCCCCCTACTTCCCCGTCCTCTTCGGGCACCCTGGACCCGAACCACCCCTCCCCCTTTGACGGCGCCCGTGCTAGCCTTGCTAGCGCCGTTCGCCACTTTCTACCGCAGACTTCCCCCTACGCCCTCCGCTCACGCGGACCTCTTCTGGCCCCCTCCAGTTCGGTCCGTCATCTCCCCATGGCCGACGGTGTGTCACATGCCGCCGGCACGGCGATGACCACGGCATCGGGCTCCACACCCGTGTCGGTGGACCAGGGCTATCAGCCCCAGGGGGATCTTCACACCCTCCTCACCTCCCTCCTTGCGCCCATCCAGGCGCAACTCGCGACCCTTGCGCCCATCCAGGCACAACTCGCGACCCTCGCGCCCTTATAGGCGCAGGTGGCGACCCCTGCCGCCGGCGTGCAGCAACTCCAGGATGTTGCGTGTCCTCCATCTCCTGGCTCCCAGTCCGGGTCCCCCGTCCTCCAACAGGGTGGCCACGGCGGAGCTTCCTCCTCCGCCGCCCCCGACCCGGTCATCTTGGTGACTGTCCACGCCCCTAGCACGACGGCCGCCACGAGCCAGGCCCTTCCTCAGTCCACGGGCACACCCGCCCAGATTCCGGTCACGACGGCCACGGGACCACAACCCGCTACCATGGTCTCAGCTTTTCCGGGTGCCCCACTTCTCCCCCCTCTTCGCACGACCGCAGCGCCATCCGGCTCTCCCCCTTGTGGGATGCCTCGCGCCGCTTGTGCGTCTCCCCCTGCCACACCTCGCTCAATCTACGTTCGAGGTCTCGAGGACGAGATCGCCCGGCTGCGGACCGACCTCGCCCTCTCACGTCTTCAACCACCCCCACCCTCACAGGTGGCCGCGCCTTCCGGTGCACCCTCTTCTTCCTCTATTCTTCCTTCCATGCAGGCTCACTTCCCTTCCCCTGCACCCTACCCATCCCCATCCTACCTCCTCCCCATCCCCTCGGTTGCAGCGACCTCTTCTACCGCAGCTCCTGTGCAGCCTGCCGCTGTTTCCCTCGCCGCTCCACCATGCGGCCCGGGCGTACAGTGAGCTGCGCCCCCTCCTCCAGGAGTTGCGCCGACTTATTCACCCGTAGTGCAGTCCCCTGCTCCTCGATCCCCTCGCCGCCAAAACGGTGGCGCACCACTCATCTGCTTGTCGGACATTGCCTTGTATGACGGTACAGGCATATGCGTGTCTAGGTGGCTGCAGTCTACCACCCGCACGCTCCAGCTCATAGGCGCCACACCCGACACGTGGGAAGGTCACCTTTCCACGCGCCTACGTGGCGGTCCTTCCGAGGCTTGGGAGGATTTCTACGCGCACTCCCTTCGCGCGGGTCGGACTCCGACCTTCATAGATTTTCAGGCGTTCCTCGAGGATCGCTTCGAAGCCCGACACGATGTGACTGACGCCTTCGAGCGTGTCGTCACTACACGTTGGTCGGACTCTGGTGGCGCTGCTGGCCTGGATCGCCACATCCAGGTCTTTCAGGACGCCCGCCTCATTTATGATATAGTGTTCCTCCCCGAGGCGGCCCTTATCGATCGGTTCTTGGCCAACCTTCCGCTCGAGTACCGCTCCGAGCTATGGCGGTACGAGTTCACATCGGCCCTGCAGGCTTATGAGGCCGCCAGGGACCATCAGCGGATGCGGGCCCGTCTTCAACCCGCCTCTGCCTCCCAGCCACAGCGTACTGGTTACGCCTCATCCTCTCACGACACTTCCCAGCGCCATTCCCCTTTCCGCGGTCGCCCCCGCCGTTTCGCGCAGCAGGGCCACCACTTCTTGCGCTGCTTCAGCGCGCTCGAGTATGGTGAGCAGGACGCTGGTGCCTCACTGTCACCAGAGGGTGATCATAGCGATGACCT